GGAAGTCAGAGGACCCGTCACATGGAGCACGATGACACACCACCTGGCTTTCCCCAAGAAAGGTCACTCCAAACTTATAAGAAACTGTCGCAGTGCTTCTGTTGTTTCTTAATTTGCGTTTGTAAATGTACTACATGCTGTGGTTCCCAGACTTTGGTTTTACAGAGAAAAAACATTCCCTAAAATATTTAGGGGGAAATAATACAGAGTTGTCATTTTCGTATTTTACAATTTCCTTAGAAAGGGACGCTAGCACTTCAGAAGCAGGAAGTATATAACCCGTGGGCCTTTCCCCAGGCCAGAAAGCCTGAGCAGTCAAATCACTGTATCAATTCAGTGAGTAGATGCCAAAAAGGCTGATAAAAACACCCATTCCTGATTTTAAAAACAAAAACAAAAACCTTTTCAATGAAAATTAAAATATTTGCTGAATATCACAAGGAACATCTTCTGAAAACAAGGGCAAACACAAAATGCTATGTATTTGTCATGCTCTTACATAGTTTGTACTTTTTCTTCATAGTTTGTAATTTTTAAAGGACTTGCAAAATAAGCACAGGTCTGTATCTGAAAATCTTGATGAAATGGGCAATTTTTCTAGGAAAACTATTTTTTTAAAACCTGAACAAACAACAATATACAAATAAAGTTACAGAAGCAAAGAACTATGCTCAAAAAAGATGCCAGGCTCAGACAAATTCACAGGCCAGTTATTCCCTTTCTGGTAAGAAATGAAAAATAGGAAGCCTTCCCAATTCCTTCTGGGAAAAGTGACAAACCAACAAAGAAAGCCCCAGAGAAGAAAACTGTATGTTATTAACCTTGCCATTCCTAGATTCTTTTTTTTAACTTTTGCAAATTTGACATGCAAAGAATGACATCTGGTTTCAATCTTGATTTCTTTGATCCATATGTCTATAGTTCTCTTATGAACTGTAAGTGCCTTTTATCCATTTTTTCAGTAGGTTTGTTTTTTCTCTTATTCATTTGTAAGAGCTACTTGGAAGTTAAGGACATTAACCCTTTGTCATGTTGCAAACATTTTCCTCAGGAAAAGCAAATGGCTTTTTTTTTTTCATTCTGTTCACACCACCTGAAATAAAGGTTTTTAAATCTCCAGTCAAATCTAATATCTTTTTGCAATTTCTTCTATCACTTTTGTGCTTCAAAGTCCTTCCCAATTCAAGATCAGGGAACTATTCACATTTTCAGCTGGATGGTTTTGGTCAAAATCATTTTAAAATGTTTAACAGACGTCCCTTTAAAAATACACATCCAATAAAATCACTGCACTAAGAAAACAGATGAATATAACTATATTCACTTTAGCTGTAGAACAAGTAAATGCTCAATATTTATATTTAAGGTTTGTCTAAATTATAACAGTAAAATAGTTTATGATAAAATACTACAAAATCATTCTATAGTACACTATCTGATGAAATGGAAAAACAGTCAAAATTTGTTACTAAGTGGGGGGAAAGGCAGAACATCTCTATTTTTATATAAAAACTATACTTATTTGGCAAGCCAGGCAATGTAGACAATTACTTGTGATCCTCCCTGGGTGTCAGATTATAGGTGGTGTCATTTCTTTAGGCTTTTTCTGTTTTACACATTACTAATGAACATGTATCATGTTTGTGATTAGAAAAAAAATTTTAAATTCATAAATACATATGTAAAACAAGTCACTAAAAATAATTTTGCCTGCATGCTTAAGTTGCAAAAAAAATTGAACGATGCCTTTCCTTCACGTAACATATTTAATCCCCTATTACAAATGAGATAATAAACATTTAAGAAAAGTGGGGGCTTCACCAATCTTCCTAATTACCTGAGAATCTAAAGGAGTAATGCCTGATTTATACTCCCGGCAAAACAACCAAGTTAAAAAAGCACAGCCCAATGGCAATTATCAGTGATAAGTCAGACCCTGTTAATATAAATGGTTCCATTTTTTCCTTAATAAACTGTGCCTTAGCATGTGAATGAGCACTGTTGAGTTTGACTAAACTGAGAAGACTATTTTATGTATGCTCACCCCCAAAGTTCCTAAAACCTTTCCAAAACGTCTGAGTGGTCATGATTAGATAATAATCAGATTAAAATGACTAGATATCAGAACTTTGAACTCAGAACCAGGGAAAGACCTGGCAATGGACAAGCTGGAATTCCAGACAGGCTGCTTCTTCCAGGCTGTGCCCCAGTGTCTGACCCAGCACCCTGCCTGAAGACCGTGCTCAATAAAGGTGTATGGGAGAAAGAATACAAATGGTTTAGAAATCCTGCAGCCCCACCCTCTGCGGGCGGTGAGGGGCACAGAGAAGGAGCAGAGACTCACACCCAGCTGGAGGCAGCCGGGGGACCAAAATCCAGGCCAGACTCATTTCTCATTAGAAACTATGGAAAGGAAAATACTGCCAGGAAACGCACAGAGGATACTTAGCGCCTGCTTCCTGTGGTGTGCTACACACATTATTAAGTTCCCGTCCATGACCCCAAGGAGTTAACAAGACTAATGAGCCCTAAAGTCTAGTTAGGACAAGTGTTTCCAGAAACCTGGAACACAAAGGGAAGCCCATTTTTTGGAAAAAGCCTAAAGGATATAATTAGAAAGAGTCACTTGAGGCTATTCTCTAAGTTTGATGCAAAAGTTTCAAGTTTTACTTTTTAATACACTACTGGAGCAAAAGTAAGAAATTAAAGCATGAGAGCTCCATCAACCCAAAAGAGACATCATATGTGCCAAGGAAAAAGCACTAAATGCCAAAAGTATTCAGGCTTAAAACTTGAGTGGAAAGCTTGTAAATGACACCCAGCCCCACTTCCTGGCTATTCAGAATAAGAGCACCCAACTTGCAGGCCATCCTACCTAAAATTCCCATTT